TGGTTTATAATACTTCGACATTAGAAACGGATCAGCTTGTTTAATAATATTTGGATTTAGGCACGCTACAAACGGTTTGCATGACTACTTGACTGTGTGTTACATAACATTATTTTTATATCTAAACCACATTCGATTTAACAGATATATGTATATGTGCCTACTTTAAATATACTTTAAATATAAATAAAAATATAATGAATACTATATCATATTATTTATTAACAAACAATATTATTACTAATAGTGGTTAATATTGGATTACTACTTTAAGACTATCCAATGGCGACTGTAGAGCGCCATACTTAAGCTGACTACTTAAGTCTAATAAGGCAATAAAATTTTGGTTAGCACGCTTAAGCGGATTTATTAAGATTTATTAACAACTCATTGCGATATTGAAATAATTTCTTGTCGTTTTATTTGCTCGCACGAGGAATGAGAACAGATTTAAAAGCAGCAAGAAAATCACATTTTAAAGGTCTTTAAATATTTAATAATTTCATTAGCAGTGGTTGGATTGCATAGATACTTTTGATCAAACACATGTCAACAGCAAATTGCGTTAATTTAAAGTTTTTTTTTTAATTTTTGGAAAATATTTGCTTTTGTCAAATGCTGTGAAAAAAGGAAAATTTTCCAATAATTTACATTTTATTGTATTGGCGTTAATTGGTTTCATGCTTCACCAAAAAGTCTTTTGTCAGTTAAAAGTAAACTTTTTTAAAAGCGCAAACAAGAAAACGAAAACACATTTTTGTCATTAAAATCAATTTAAAATAGTTTTTATAAATTTTATAAAAAATTGTTACCGACTGTATGAAGTGCCGTATCATTATAATAGTCAATAAAGTTCTAAGCGGAGGCTTAGGCTCCTGGATATTGTTATTTGTTGCAGGTGATTTAGTTTTTGTGGAAGTAATTAAACTTATTGGTCTATGCAAAGAAATCAAAATGATATTGCCATGAAAACAAACAGTGAGGGTGCATATATATCTCGAGATATAACCTTATATATCAAAAAATATTAAGAAAAATTAAAGTTGTAGGGTTCAGGTTTAAAAACATTGAAGTAACAGCTAATTGGCCGTATTGTACTTTATCATTAATGCTATAAAACTATATATCGAACCACTACTTGATCGTTAAACTAAGCCTTATAGCAAAAGAAACTATTTCGCTGATGGAAGGGATACTATTCTAGTATTGAATTAATTTTTAAATTAATTGAATTTTCTGACTGACCATGACCATTATTGCGAGTAGTACCAAATACTTGGCATTAGTGGCCTTCAGAAAAATTGTTTAGTTTTATATGTCCGTATATAATAGTTGGGTTGCAATTGGAAGACTTAGAAAAATGAAACTGTCAAATTAGAGGCAATGATTACGCATCTTTCTAAGCCATATGTGCCAAAGCTGCATGAAATTTTGACCAACAAAAGTTCGAGTTTTTTTTGAATTTTTTGCTAACCATATTTATTTTTTTTACAAATACATGCAGTTTTTATAAAGTATATATGGATTTAATTTAATAACAAAATTAACATTAACATTAACAGAATACAGTTTATCGTTAATATGATTAGTTTTATATATTTTATGTAGTTACTTCTAAAACATACTTTTTTATAAAGAAAATTTTCATTTCAGTGTCCAATTATACTCGTATCATATTCAAATGTTATTCACAACTATTGTAGATGTTCTGGGTTATGTTAAATCTTATAATTAAGATTAAAATTGAAAATCAGTAACCCAAAAGGCAGTGAATTAGAAAAATGTCATTTAGGAGCGAAAAACAACTGTCACTTCGATTATTTTTATGATTAATAATCAAATGAAGAAGCTGATAGGATTTAAGATTCGCAGTAACAAATTCACACGAATTAAATTATTTTTCCAACAGTTGAAATCCTTTCGGTGTGATGCAATTTGACAGTGACCGAAGCCGGTGAAGCGCGTGACTGTCCCGAACTTGAAGACGCAAAAAGTACAACACGGCGCTGAGTAAGGCAATAGTTCAGAAAATCATGAGCCGCAACAAATTCGTTTTGATGGAAGACAATAAATAAAAAACTACAATTATTGCCACGAACTCAGACGAGACATGCTAACAATAGTAACAATAAATACACATAAAAAATTAATATTTTAACAGGTTCACATTGTGGCCGAGTATGGATTTACATAATATTAGACGTGACAGCCGAAACGGATGGAAGATGGTTTTCTCCGGTGGACGTTGGTTGCCTTGAAGTAGAAAAATTATGGGCAGTTAATTTTTATGCCACTGAATTTTATTTCGTTACGACGGCAAATAAAACCAAATGTGCGATTTAAAATCTAATGTAGTCCGATTGTGCTTTAAGATTTTAGTACAAATCACATCTTTACATATCATATACTCATATTAACATATATGTATGTGAGAAAATAATAAAAATGATAAAAATTGGCGTTAGTTTGTTGAGAAATTATCAGTCAATTAAAAGAAATTGAAATACACTTTATGGTTTGAATAGATTCAAAATGAACAAACCATTCATATATTCTTACTTTAAATAATTTAAATATATTCAGTATTTCCCTGTTAACATTTTATTTAATAGAAAAGAAACGAAAGAAATGGACGTTATAATTATAATCAAATATTATAATTATATACAGATATACATAACATGATAGTATAGACTGGGTACAATCAGTTTCTATATTGCTTTTAGATGAGAGGACAAAATTAATTAATTATATTAATATTAATTATGAATTAACCACAATAAGAAATCTCTAAGTTAAGACTCATATCGAGAGTTTGTCCTCAGTTAAATGTGATATTTCTTTATATAAATATTCATACAACCAAATATTAATTCAGTATGACAACAGATCGGCGGCCATATATTTAAAATACATATAGTAGTCTATTAGTTTGCTTAATTCTAAAAAAACATGTATATATATTAAATATAAGCTTTGTAAGAAACGTGAAGTACAAGTCCTTTCGAAAATTTTAAGAATTGAAATGAAATTTAAAAATAAATTAAAGAAAATAATTATAAGAAAAATTTATTTGCAGTTAATTAATAGAACTTAAAATATTATTCAAGCAATTTAAAGCTTCAAGCAAATAATCTAGAGTACTTTAGAGTACTATAGGAACTAGAGTACTTTAGTTCGAGCATAAACGAGCACTTCGAGTATGTTCGAATACCAAATTGTTTCTAAGCATTTATTGTTATGAGTATTTGCAAGAGGCATGTTATGATTGCAGTCACGTCACGGCAATTGTTGTTGCTTTCAATGTAAAATGAAGTGAGTTGTCAGTGTCAAATTTTCATTTTGCATTGAAAGCAATAACAATTGCTGTGATGTGACTACAATCATAACATACCCCTATGAAACCAAATAAAGGTATTAAGCATATCAGCTGTTTGATTATTTCGAATATCTTTGAACAGTATTTTCTAATATTAAAAGTGTTCCATTTTCAGCATACTTAAGATGGAAATCGGCTTTCATAATGCCCAAAAACTTACTTATCGTAGTTAGCCGTAGTAGTTAGAACTTTAAATGCTAAGATATAGTTAAGTTAAGGTTAAGTTAAAAATAAGGTATAATTCCACTATTTACAGTATTAGCAAGCAAAAACAGTCTAATATTTTGAATAGAATTTTTTGTATAAATTAATATATCTAGTTTATATTTTAGGTTATATAAATTTCATTATAAACATTCCGTGGTATCTTAGTCGGGAATTTTTTAACTTAAGATGTACATATGTAAATAAGTAAAACAAAACAAATCTTTGAGATACTATCATTCAAAATTTGGAATAATGTAGCAGTATTTTGCTCCTGACAGGAGCTTATGTTAGTAACTGCCTTAAGTGTACAATTTAAGTAATACTTAAAATGTAACTGAAAAATATACATAATAAAAAGCATTCCGTTACTGGTATATATTGGTATATATATATAGGTCCAACACTTTATAATATTGCGTAGAAGGAAAGTGCTAATTGAATTAAAGCTAAATTAATTTTTAAAGATCGAACAATTTTCTCGTTAAGTTTTGCAATTTTTTTTCGCTGTGTTTGCGATACTCGTTGTCGTGGTATTTTTCGTTAATTGCTCGCTTCGTTGGTTCTACGCATGCTTAAGTGTTAAATACTTTTGTTTCACTTTTTTAATTTTGCTGTTTTTCGTTACTTGAATAATTTGGCAAGATCGATTCCGATCATTAATTTTATTTAAAAAATTTTCTTTTTTTTTAAGTTTATAAAATGAGTAACGTGGCGCGATTCTCGTTTACATTTAATTAATTTATCAATTCATTGATTAAGAAATAAGTAAGTGTGCCGAAGTGAATTAATTTTACGCTGGAAAGCAAAGCCGCTTATGTTGAATCAGTCGTGTGTTTTCCCACTTGAAACTGGCTTGGGATGCGCGCTTCAATGCCTGCAGGAGTTGGAAGGCCCCTTTTGGAACTGGTTACCGTAATTTGTTTGCACAAAGTAGTGTGAAGTCTTGAGCTGCGATCCACAATGTATCGTATGTCTTTAACTGCTTTTAATAAATTTTTTTCACACTAATACGTATAAAAATAATTATAATTACCATTAAACATATGCCTTTTTAATAATAATAATAAAAATATTTAAGTGAAAAATCATATGTTCGAAAATGAGAGTAAGTTTTTTAACAAACAACAGAAATTATTATTTTTAAGTTAAAACTGTATAAGATTATTTCAGAAGTTAGTTAGTTTACAGAGTAGAGGTGGATGGATAAAAAATGACAACCTTTTGGTTCCAGTATTTCTAAATATTAATTTTGAAAATTTTCTAATATGTAAAATAGACACGGATCCGAAATTATAATAATTTGATACAAAAATAACATTCATGTAGATAATTTGGTAACAATTATTATTACGAAAGTAATAATATTAATAATGAAGTTCTTATAAATTTGCATATATGCATATATATGTCTTACCTTCTTGACGATGTTTTTTCGTTGTAAAAGTCTGAAAATAAGAATAGAAACTATTAATTCTATGTAATATAAATAATAAACTACTAAAGAATTTAATAAGTCAGTTTTTTTTAAATAAATAGTTTAGCGTTTCGTTTTTACGCGAAATAATTTTTTTTGGCATAATCACATTAAAAATATTTAATTAAAAAAATTGATTAATTGTAACTGTAGGATAGACTTTAAGGTGACTAAATCCAAAATCAAGACAATGAATGTGGCAATGTTGCAGACTAGATTGCATTGGTCAAAAAAATTGTGTCTTCGGAAGATTATGGTTTAAATTAAACTACGTTCATGCCATAATCGAAAACTATTTAGTTGAACACATTGATGACAAGTATAAAGTTGTACATTACAAGTTCTAGAACGTTCAACATTCCTTTGATGTTCAAACAAAGCTGAGTTCGTTAGAGTTAAAGAGCATTAGTGCTTGCATAAATGTGGTTTCATATCTTACTTAATTTTAAGTAAAATGTCTAAATTAAGCAAATGAATGGATTAAGTTTACGTTACAGGATAGTCATACGAAGATGTCAAGTACCAATGTTTGGACGGCTATTATGATCTATAATGGTTCTCAGCTGGCATTTCTGGACCATGGTTTTAAGGTCCATGCAATAACTTTTAATAAACTAACAAAAAGGTTAATAGCTTTTGAATGAACTTTTTTTAGGAGGACATTTTGACAAATTTTTTTTAGATTTTAGTTCAACATTCTGTATTCTTGTAAATATTGAGTTTAATCGATCAAATAATTATTTACAGCATTAATATCGGATATACTCGTATATATACGATTAGCTCTAGTTATCGTAATACTACCGAAAATACAGCTATGAACTAAACATTTTTAATATATATATTACTATTTAAATAAACAATTAAATTAAAAACGAATAACCATGTACTATATTCCCTATATATATATATACAATAACACATATTGTGTCCTGCGAATATATATGTTTAGCATATATTAGAAATTTTCAATATTAAAATTCATAAATTGAAAGTGCATAATTTCTTGTTTTATATGTAAGTATACAGGTTTACATTGACAACCCTGTCATTATGGTATATCAATAAAATTTACCCAAAGTAATCAATACGATCTACACGTATGCATGCAGTGCTACAGGCGCGGGCAAGAGTAGCGAATTGCAAATAACAGCACACAAATGAAATTAAATAAAAATAATATTGGCAATTTCAAGTATCATTTGAGTGAAATATTTCTTGGCATTACAGTTAAGCCGACTGTCGAGTGTCGAGTGTCGCAAGGAGGGCACATGAAAATGTCTTTTGATTGCAGTACCTCATGTCAAACAAGGTATATGTGTGTACGGTGCATGACAGGAATGCAAAACGTTTACTGTAGCAGTCACAACAAGTACTGTAAACAATAATAAAAACAATAACAACACCAACAACAATTCAGTAAAAGTAATAAAAGTAACACAAAATCAATCTTTGATTCGATACTCGAATACGTCCTCGTGTCACATTTGTAGAAAATTGCATTCAAGCAGTGCCTTTGCCTTTACTGCTGAGCAGTGGGAAGTGTTTTACCAGTTGTTATTGTTGTTGTTGCTGCTGATGTTGTAGTTGTTATTATTGTGTCGTTCATGTTAAAATTGTATTGCGCGTTGCTTGTCTGCCCAAGTGGAAAGTCAACGTTTTCTTTCGTTGAATGACGTGCAAAATGATTTCGTGTCGTTTTGTCGTTCGTGGCTGTCGTTATATGACAAAGACGTCCGGGTTGACTTTTTACGTTTAATTTCTTTCATACAAAGAAAGAACTCTGTTGTTGTTATTGCTTTTCGTAGTTTGAGTTCAACCGAGTCCCTCCCTGCTTCTTCTCACATGTTGCCGTGCAAAACTTCATTCAGTATTACTTTTAAGTCTGTTTTTAGTTCTGTGTGCTTATATATGTATTGGTTTTTTTAGGCACATGGCAAGTGTGTGTTCAGTGCTCGTGTTGAGAATAGTTTTACTTCTCGCGATTATACCCACATTTCGTGATTTTAGCCTGAGCAACTTCAAAAAAAAAGCCAACCCTAGAGAAAAGCTTAACTGACTGTTGAAGTATGACGGGACGTTTGAGTTTTGTCAGAGAAGGTTTCTAATTTGTTAATTGTCAACAAATTGAACAAGCAATCAATGACGGTTTTGACGGTTTATCAAGAGAATAGAAATTATATTTCTAATTGGAGTCAAAGGTCATATTTTCACGTCAAGTCGCATTCAACTTTCTTAAGAAATTTTAATAACAATGAATAAACTGTCAAAAAAGACAAGGGGAAATTAATAAATACAGCTCCGTTCTAATCTTTAGCGCTAGAACGGAAAAGTCTTGAAAGATTTGGCCTTGTCTATCAAATCTTTTGCAGTACATATCTGGACACTCGAGAAGAAGACATTGTTGTTTCCATGTCCAGACTTGTCTACCACCAGGCTCAAGTTTTTAGGCGATACATTTAGTGATATTTTCAACATTTTTATTGATCATTTAATTGCATTTATAAACTTTTTATACACAATTACGTAAAATTATTATCGCTTTCTTAGCTAATTGAAGAGGATTAGATTCTCCTTCTATTTTGCCAACCCATTTTTAGAAAAGTGATCGTACAAATTAGTAAAATTGTATATTCTAGAAAAGAAATAAAGTACGTAACTAAAAAAAACACCTTCACTTTATGTGATCTGTTTAAATTTGTGAAGTCTCCACAGAAAGTTTCAATCACAAACAGACAGAGGGCCAATCCAATATAGCTTCGGCTTAATTCGGCTGGTGATACTAATCAAGCATTAAATGGTTCTGATGTCCTCTTCTCTTGCCTGTATGAACTATTCCTTTGTCAAAACTCTTTTTACCAATTAAGTGACGTTTTAAAAAAGTAATACTTATGCAATAATAGTAATAATTAGTACATCATGCACAAATTTAATTAAAGTTTCAACTGAGCTGTAATGAATATAAATACCTTTCAAATACATAAATATTTGAAATGTGTTTAGGTTACTTTTAGTGTTTATTTTGTAACTAAAAACATTTATTAAAATATATATTAAAAATAAGTATTAAAATTATTAAAATATAAATTAATTACGCTTTTGTCGATGATTTAGCTCTAAAAACTGCACGAAATAAAAAAAAAACAATTAATTTAAAATAAATACTTTTCACTCTCATTTCCATAATTTTGACGAACACCATTTGCAGTAAAAATCGTTCCAATGCCACTTCATTTCTTTTTGCGTACGCGTATGTATGTGAATGAAGAACGCAATTAAAAATTTTTAACTTACACACACATGTACATTATTGTATTCTCTTATACGTTTACGAATGTGCTTTGGCCAAAACAAGCCGAAAGCCGCAGCCGCAGCCGCCAAACGAGTTGCGAAACCAATTCAAACCATGGGAACGACACGATTGGTTGTCATTTTGTCAACAAATTGCGAAAAGTGCCTGGCTCGTTGAATATTATAGCCCGACATGGGAACCAGCAAAGCCAGGCGTCGTAAAGTATATGCACAAGTACCGAAAGCATATACGAACGTATCAATATATGAAGTAAGAAGTAATAATAAAAAACTAAATATGCCACAGGCTATACAAATCGACATATCGGTTAGCAGCAGCAACATCAATAACAGCAGCGGCACCAACAATATCATCAACACGCACCAACGCCACCGACACGACAACTAAACCATTATCACCGTCAACGTGCATAAAGAAATAAAAGTATTTAAATAAAAACAACGAAAAGCAAAAACAAAAAACCAACAAAAAATAATAAAAAGCACTTGGTCGGCGTACTACTACGTTGTTCAGTTGCATATGCCGCCGCCTTGCCACCTTACCACCTTACCCCCTTGCCGCCTTGCCACCTTGCTATTTTGTGATGCGAGCAAATAGTTACTTGAGTGCAAGTGCTGAGTTGTGCGGTATGTTAGTCTCAAAATACGCGAGTAAATGTCACTTAAGTGCTTTCTTGCTCACAGGTATTTTCGATTTGCTTGTGCTATGCTGTACGCTGTTATGCTGTTATGCTGTTTTAATGAAGGCGATGTGAGCCTTTATTGCTGTTACGCTAAACTCTGGGTTCGCAGCGATGTTTGCAGTTGTGCTTGTGGCAACACTGCTGTGATTGTAGTTACAGTTGGTGGTGCTGGCGATGGTTGAAGACGGCGGTTACGGTGTTGATCGACGCGCCTTTTTCTACTCTTTCATCAAATCTGAATTGGCAATTGTTGAAACTAACAATAAAGATACATAAGTAAAATGTGACCCGAAGCCATCTGCGTTGTCAGTAAATATTGTTGATCGTGCTAAAAACGTTTCGAGTGTGTTGTAATCGGTTTCAATTTCAGTTTCATCTTCAAATCTACAAATTTTTTTCAATTTTTTACTCAAATACAAAACGACAACAACAATAGCAACAAATAATTGATGTTTCAAGCACAATATCATCCTGATAATTGTTGTTACTGGAATAGTCATAATGCTCTTCAGATGCACACACATTTCCTTAAGTATTTTCTCACTAATTTTTTCTTTGCGAATGAAATATTATATAAAATACGTAACGTAAGATAAACTTCAAAGTTCACCAATAGCAACAGAGATAATAATTGCTTTGTAACTTATGAACGTTCTGTGCAGCTGAGCCCCAGAACTATGCTTAGGCATTGTTAGGAGTGCAGCTGACTGTATCTACTGGTTACTACTGGATTCTGATGTGCTCTTGAACTTGCTGGACTATAAAATATAGCGTAACAAATTGCAACATTTGTAACTGGATTGAAGGAAATTTATTGGTTTTTCTGAAAAAATTAAAGATAAAAAATATACGCTTTTTCAATGTTTTTGAAAAAACGAAATTTTCTTATACTTAGTTCAATAGTGATAATCATTGTTTTATTTTTGAAATAAAAACTTTTAAATTTCTTGTTTAATGACAAAAACCAACAACTTATACAAATAAGTCATTAATTTATTAAGATTGTTCTAACAATTTATTTTTTAAAAACAAATATTGGAGCAAACTTATTCGGAGACAACAGTTGTTATTGTAATACTCTTAAAATTGCCAGGAGGAAGTGAGCTATATTAAACACTTCTTCCAAAACAGCTTCACATCAAGTTTGCTTTCGCTAATTACGTCAGGCCGGCGAAAAAATGGTGTACTAGATATTGGACACGTTTTTCAATAGTCCTGTGCAAGAACATGTAAAACAATTGTACATTTCAATCTTTTTCATCATGCCAACTATTACTTAGTTGGTACCACCAAAATATTAGTATAATAGCCTAGTACTCTATTAGTACTCCAGTAAGGACAGTATGTCCGAGCATGTTAAATCCTAGAAGATTATTAGTTCTTTTCTTATCTAATCAAAGTCATATAGTCTAAAATCTTGTTGAAATATACATTAATTTACTCTCATTGAATTGCTGAATGCTAATATTCGTATTGGGTATATATTAGCATTCGCTTTAAGCGACCAAAAACACAACAGATAGCTGGCAAGGGTCATACTTTGCGATGCGTGTGGAATTTCATTCATAGACTACCTTGAGAAAAGCCAGACCTTTAGCAGCGATCGCTACATGATCCAATTAGTGTACTTAAAGGATAAAATCGGGAAACAATAGGTTCATATGAAGAAGAAAATAGTTCTTTTGCATCAAGGCAATGCGCCGTTGTCGTTAGGTACTATGATCAAATTGTACGAATCATACTTTGAATCGGTTTAGCACAAATAGTATTCGCCAGATTTAGTCCCGAGCGATTACTACTTGTTCACAGAACTCAAACAAATGCTTCAGGGGAAAAGTTTTAATTCGTCATAGCCGAAAATGAGACATTTTCAAGGCCAACGACGAATCATTCCTCAAAGGAGATATGGAAGTGTTAACGAAGCGATGAAATGATTCTTGTTAAGTGATGTTATTTTCGTAACATTTCTACTACCCTATAACACTTATCGTGTTTTCGGTGACTTAATCGTCATCAATACTATTAGATAAAAAAAATATATAATATATGTTATATATAATATATTAAATGTTATTTTTTGCATATTTTAAATGTCACAATTTTTTTGCACCATCTTATCACAATCTCAGGCAGAGGTGATGGCTAGAAGCAAGTGCTAATAAGCCACGCTCAATCTTTGTTGTATTACTAAAAAAGCACAGTTCCGTTCAATTTCGCATGGATAATATGCAATAAACTAAAACCAGTTTTAATAGATTTCAATATATATATGTACGTTCACATGTATAGTATGTATTACGACTAAAATCTGTTCCATAATTGTTGTAAGTGAAGTTGATGATGCCAAAGTTTAATGAAGTTTTTGTTTTGTTTTCAGTTTTTTAATTTTCCTCTGTGCAATGTCGTTGAACGATCTTAAAAGATAAAAGCAGAGATGTTAAATTTGTGGTTCGAGCTGTCCGATGTCCTCATCAGTGTTGGTCGTCGCATTGTGCGCTCGTCCATATGCGCACAAAAGTGCAATTGCTTTTCTTTTCTGTGGCATTACGTGCAGTTACGCTCATTTCCATGTATTCACAGTTGTTTGACAAGCAGGAAATTACCGGCAATTATAATTTGTTCGCGTGAATGAATGCAATCGTGCGACAAACTTGTTACGGACAATATTTTATGTCATTCCATATTCGGTTGGCTGTGTTTTCTTGTATAATTGAATATTGCTGCAGTTGCATAGAAGTTTAAATTGCAAATAAATTGATACAAATTACATGTTATCGGGACTGTAAGCGTTTCTTTAATAGAGCTGTGTTACAATTTCTTTCGATTAAAATTGACACAATAAATATTATTTAAAGAAAATGTCCATATATTGTCCATATATTATACTCCGTTCCATTGAAGAGTATAGAACGAATGTTTATAAATTGGATTATATTCTATCTGCATCATATGTTCTAAACAATTATTAGCATATTATCCTCAATTGCGTTATACCTGTAAACTACAAATATTGCAATCAAAGAATTTCTGGTATATTCACTTTGTCTCATTTAGGCAGTTTATCATATATATTAATGAGAAAACGTTCACATTATAACGAGCTCATTTATGCAGCTGATAGAACTTTAATAAACTTCTATAAACTTCCTGATATACATTTTATACATCAATTACATATTTAATTAATAAAACCAATGATTTTATTAAATATTTATTTATTCAGTGCCTTTGTTTACATATTACATATGAAATATATGACAAATATTTCAAATATTGGTCATTTTCTTGCGGGAAATTTATTTTTAAGGGTAGCACTTGACATTTTTGGTCCAAAATGAGCTGATTTATTGTAAATGAGCTAATTTATATAACAGATTTTTGTATTGTAAATCATCCTCATTAGTGAATATAATGCACAAAATGGGCTTAATAAGACAGTGTGAATGTGCTATTAGTAACATTCATTTATTTAAGGACTGTGGTATGCCGTTCCGTTTATTCAAAAGTTGGTTTGAACTGACACATATATACATATATCTTGAGAAAATATAAAATGCGAAAAATGCAACCATGTAGAACAAGAAAGTAGTGGTAGAAGAGTTAGAAATAGAGGTTATTTATACTCTTAATAATGATTTTGTGATACTAATTGTACATTGCAACTAAAATGAATGTAATAACTTTTTTCGTAGCATCTTCTTTTACAAAAAGAAGTATATTTACTCTTCATAAACTTTAAAGTGTTGCAGAGCTCAAGAAAATTTTTTGTTGATAAAACATAGAGTAAAAAAGTTAAGAAAAAAACAAAAAAAAGAAAAACAGTCACAAATAACAGTGCTAAGTGTCACTATCTTCAATCAACAATACAAAATGATATGAGGAACGTATTCTCCAGGCTCAAAATAATTGTTCATATCACAATGGACATGTCAAATAGCATATACGATATGTTTTAAAATAAAAATATTTTGCTGGATTCGTCTACCATTAACTGGCGGATCCTAAGTGTGACTTTCTTGATGTATATAGTATATAGCATACAAGGCATAGCAAATGGATAATATCGTTCAAAAAGGATCACATTTTGCTATAAGTGTTCTTACATTTACTGGCTAAACTTAAGTGTAACACTTAAGGTGTATCCTTAAATACCATTTTAATTTTAAGTTTATGACAATAGTAACTAGTTTGTACAACTCAAATAACGATATTTGAAGAATTTTTAGTAAATAATTTGCTTTTTATGACTTCAATGACGATTTCAGTATTTATTTTCATAGACATTTCATGTTGATCTTCCTTTTTCTTGTTCTTAATATTTCTTTGATAACAAGCGCATATTTTCACAGTTGTTGATATGATCACTTCTCAGCGATATGCCTACCAGCAAACAAATTTCAGCTGCTAATATTAGTATTGTATTTGCTAAGATTTTACTGGTAGTTTAACGACATTTTTACATACGAGATACGAGTACGAGTATATGCAGAGATCATATCGGAGATACCAACACAATGTCACAGACGTTTTAATGAAGAGGAAATAACGAGTATGGCCTGCAGTGTCAAGCACATCAAAACGTCCAGAGGTGGCAATAAAAATCTAAAGCAGTGGCAATGAAGGTAGCCAGAGCATCATCAAGATTAGCTCGTAAAATCTCTTAAGATAATGAATATCGCTTGGCGTAGTTGCAGTTCTGCTGTTCGGCTGTTCAGCTGTTGTGCTGTTGTGCCCGCAGTCAATAGTTTCAATCAGCAGGAGTTTTTGTATTAAAATTGTATATCTTTTAGTTGTTGGGCGGTGTTTATGTTTATCCTGTCCGAATTGATGAAATGTGCTAAAATCAAAATTTATGTCATATAACATCATTTCTTAGCCAGGTTTTTTTTTTTTATTTATAAAGTTCTTATGTTGATTTAATAACTGAAATTGCTACTTTACACTAAAAAGATCTTAGTGGATCTGACATGAATCGTTTAATTTATTTTTATTTGAATTGCAATTTCTTTTTAAATGAAAAATGTTATTTGCGTGGACAACGTACGGAGGTACAAGATAGGCACTTAAAAATATTTACAACATAGCACTAATAATTACTTTTAGTACATAAAACATCTGATGTATTGTAAAAATACTGATGGATATTAGCGGAAATATCATATTTTTAAGATAATTAAAAAGTATAAGAACAACCCAAAGACTTACTTTTTATATCACAACGGGTTCCTTCATTTTATGGTTCAGCTGTATTATAACCATCGGTTTTGTACTTCTCATATAGAGTAACAATATTATTACTCTATTATTAAAATATTTATTATTAATGATTTTGTAATAAAAATTATTCAATTATAAGTTATAGTAAGATAATAAATTGCTTCAATTACAAACTTAATTATTTAAATATTTAAATTTATTGTTGATTACATCTCAGCTATAAATTGAATATTCTGAAGTAGAAGAAAGTTAGAAAATATAAAACTGACAGCTCAGACACTAAGTCCTTTGCGATAATTATATGAAAAGAATTTTCATAAGTTCTACAATATAAAATATTCGAAGAAACCGTCAATAATTACAAGTCTTTAATCAAACCATAGCGATCCATATAATACAAAATTATTATTTTCCAGTATGATTCTTACTGTATTCATACGAGAGTTTGGTTTTCAATATCAGCTGTTATTTAGGTTTATTGTTAATTCTAATAGCAAGTTAAGTTGAAATTAAAAACATTTGTGTAAAAATATTGGCATACGAAGTTGGGATTGAATCTTATGGCGTTTTCGTTTGATAAATCTGGAGTAACTTTTTTAATCAAGATTCACTTTTAGTGCAATTTTCATTTTCGATTGGTAAATCTGTATAACACTCGAGAATAATGTATAACACTTGAGATTAATTTATAACATTCTAGATATTTTGCCAGAGTGGCAAGATTACATTGAAATTAAGAGTTTTTTTTATATGATGACAAATAAGTTGTGATTTGATTCGATATATATGTATTATTAAATATATAAATATTTACTAACACAATATTACTTTAAAAATATTTAATTGGACAACAAAATTTGACAGATCTGGAGTAAATCTAAATTGAATCCAGACTTACCAATCGAAAACGCCATTACTATCAAAAAAATCAAGTAATTAGAATCAAGTAATTATCAATTTGGACAATTCACAGTAGTATAGTATTGTATAACACAATATTCATCTATTGAGAATAGTTTGGAGGAATGAATAAAATTTCCATGCAAAATGGAACAAAACTGTCAAAGTTGCAACTGTCAAAACTGCAACTTTATTCAAATAGTTTAAATGGATCCCTTACAGTTTCAATTTCTGTAAATATTTTCAACGAAAACCATTTATTTATAATATTACATGAATTGTGTATACATGCAAGAAGACAAATAGTGTCATTCATATCCTGAAAACATTATGAACTGAAGAACTTTCGATGAATATAGGTTAGAAAAATTTTAATCTTATTTTGGAATATTTTAATAATGTGAAAAACTGTGACGTCTACTAGGGTTCTCCAAAAATAGTAAAAATTATTTAAGCATATCTAACTAAATTTGGAACATTATCTGTCAATTTAAATAAATTGGTAGATTTAAATGCAAAGGATGGATATAGAAATAGCGTTGGAGTTTCAGATCATATATTGACAAATAGATGGAACTCCGCGATATTTTATTCGTAATAGTATAATTTCTAACGCACTATAGTCCAGTATGAATTTATGTCCTTGGTTATAATTTAGAAATCGATTGGTGGTAACACGATAATTATGACACACACATATATGTAGTATTTGAATGAAATTTTGTCCGACGATTTCATGTCAATGATTTATTGAAATATATTTTTAGGTTGTTGCCATTTAAATTGATTTCATGCAATTATTTACATGGTGGTTATAACAAAACCTTGCATAGAGTTTACTCTTAGTTAGTAATTACTACATACCTGGAACATCCTCACTTCCTCACTACACTTGTTTCCAACTTTGGTTTAGATATATTTATTGTTTAAATACATAGGATTCCTGATTACTGGAATGGGGTTTCAGCTTTTGACTTTTTCGGTTCAATGACTAAAATTTTTGTGATTTACATTCCCCAGAGGTGCATTTAGTGAGTTCAACTCATATACTGCGGTTTTCAAAGCTTCCCACTAACTAAAAAAAAGGGAATCGATGTATTATACTTAAAAATTCAATGGTTTGCTGACTAATGTGAAGAGTTTTTGTCTGATCAGGGAAATCATGGTGTATAGTAATCGCAATAACCATTTGTTGAGGTTCGGTGAACTAATACTAGGAAATGTTTAGGCTGATTTCTGTATAGTGATCCATAGAATATGAAATTTTTATTTTCAACTATTTTTCAGCAATTGTCATTTGATAATAAAAAAATTGTAAATTATTTAAATGAACAAATAAATTTTGCATTTTAATTTTTCTAATAAAGAAAAGTATTGAATGGTGCCTTTCTAATTGCAAGTAATTACAAGTGTTTGAAGTGATTTTTAATTTTATTCAAAGACAATTTGCATAGGTCGTGAACCCAGCCATTATCGTCATGGAGATGTTATCAGTTGCTACGTTGTAGCCTTTACTTGTCAACTCAAAGTAAATGCTTAGTTTAATAAATTCGCAACTTAAAAGTGTAATTGAAAGTGAACCTTAGAGATATAGACGCGACATTATTACGTGCATGCCTCGGTTATCAATAGTTCAGCAGAAGTACATCAAGGCTATAAGTTTAGCAACGATTTTAATGCATTTATATTTTCTAATATAAATAGTGTAAAAATAATTATTATAATAGATAAGAGAAAATAATAGATGCACAACTAGTAGTTAGTATTATAAAAATTGATGGCTTATGTCTCAATTCTATTTATATAATTATTAGTGCAGATTAGAATATTCATATGAAAGCAATCTCTCACTGACAAGGTAGGTTAGCTATGATCTTCTCCTTTTATTTAGACGGTTCGATCCTTGATATTCTCATATATAAATGCTTTAAACAGATGCCGTGTCAATTGGTTTGAAACAATTGCTGTATAATTTTTTGTGATAGTTTAATATAAGAATAATTGCAATAAAAACATTACAACTTTAGGCTTCTTCTTTTGTAAGCATTTCACAAAAGAATAACTGCTTATTTTAAAAATAATGTATGAAATAACGACATTGCTGGCTTATTTAGTCCAACCTTTTTGAAATCGCTTAACTAATAAACAACTCAAATCGCATGGTTGCCAAGACTAAAAATTCGTCTATTGTAAACGATTTTTGGAAATAGATGCGAAATTTCCAGTTAAATGTCAACGAATGATTTCGTTAATTCTTCGTATTTTGTGTCGTCATTGTTCGTAACAAATACGTTACTTTTTCTATTTATTATTTACTGTTAAAAGGCCTAATATAAATTCCATTTTGTTAAGCGTTGCCATCAAAAGTAGTGCTTATTTTATTTGTTCTTTTGCGACATGCTTACAAAAGAAAAAGCCTTTTATTGTGAAACAATGTTATTACTTCAGTGCAAAAAAAATTTCACATAAAATATTTTTATTAATTGTTTAAAGAAAGAGTGCAATATTAAAATACTCATAAATAAATTAATAAGAGAAATTGAATAGGAAAGATATTCCATATAAATATGTTCTTATCCATTTAATATTTGTCATGTGGTTTTAATAGTTAGTTTTAATTTTAATACCAAAAGCCCATAATTAAGTTTTTTCGCCTACAGCAATGCCAACCACAAATTTTATTTAATTTCAAGTTTTTTCTTTGCAGTGCAGTTCACCATTCATGCACCCGCAGGAAAGCAACAAATATGGATAATTTATAATTTATATATAATTATATTTGTTTTCTTAATTTATATATTTATATAATCGTCTGGAAATAATCAATTATTTCAAATGATCATTTTATCTAAAGATGTGAGAAGTAGTTTTATATTTCAAAGTCGCATATTGACTGTAAAATAATGCAAATAATTAATAAAAACATAAAAATTAAATGGAATTACAACGTATATAATATATAATAATATTTATCACAAAACTGTTTGAAATCAATATACAATTGAATATACAATTCGAATATAATTCTTTTGGAACTTTGGAGGCGACTTCGAACTACTAAAATTATTTTTATGAAATCATGAATCATTTTTTCTATTTTCGACATATTTTGATGATAAAATCAATTTTTTCTTACTGCATTTGCAATTTAAATTGAATGTAATTTAATCCATACTCAGATTTCAACTTGAGCTTAAGTGACTGTTGTTTAGTTAGTGGGTTGTTGTCATTGCTCTCACTTTAATTTTAACTATAAACTACCAATAACCAAAAACAACATTCATTTTGGTTCTTCAAAGACAGAACCAATGAAGGGTGCCAATTCTCGACAGGCGATATCAATACTGGCATTAGAATGCCTTAAAAAACTGAATACGCTTGACTGAAATATTTAAATATAGATCATTTGTTGTCAATGTTTTGCAGACCGACTGCTAATGACCCAAAACAATTCTGTGACATAAAATTGGAGTTTCCTCTCACTCATTTATAAAGAAGAATAGGAAGAAAACAGAGTGAGAGAGAGAGCTATACAATAAAGAGAGAGCTATAAAGATTGTATGAAATAGCTTAGGAATCGTTACAGAAGTTCTGGCAGGACATTTTAGGTTGAATTATCATCTAATAAAGCTGTAAAGATACTTTACTGAAAATTTTTGTAGGTTTTTTAGAAAATGAGACCTTAAAGCATGTAGAGGAAGGTTTTACAGCATTCATGTATAATCAAAAGAAAAACTTAAGGGGGACCTAATATTAAATACAAAAGTAAAACGCGGTAAATTAGGTTCAATATTACTATTTGTTGAGAAAATTGAAATTGGAAAATAAACATTTAAGTCTATGAAGAGGACACAATATAGGTCGAAGTGCTAAAAGCTCCACATAATAATACAAATAGTATGCTATTGCCATTGCAAATACATGATTAAATGTGAACCAATTCCAACAGAATCATAAAAATAAAAAAAAAATATTAATGCCAGTGAAAAATATATATACACGAATAAGAAAGTAACTATATTTGTTATGTAATTTTTGATATTTTGACACTTGAACCGTAAAAATGCAATATTGACTGACAGCCAGGCAGCTATAATGGCACTCATATGCTATCAGGTAACATCCAAACTTGTATGCGAGTGAATTGATAAGCTTAACATACTCGACTGGAA